TCAGGGCTGGCATGAGGCAGAGTGGCTTGAGCTGGGAGAAGTGAGTGACTTGTTTTCACTGGCAGCTCCCTTAGGCAGCCGCTGTATTTTTCCACTGCGTGGATCACACTGGAGATTAATTTTGGTTCAGCCAGTGCCTGCCAAGCAAAAAGTGAAGGCCCTAACCCACGGGGAAGTCAGCCATGGCATCTGTCACAGACTCAATGTCGCTGGTACATTTCCACGGAGAGAGATATTTACAATAGTAAATTTCTAGGCTTTGATAAAAACATTGGGTAGGATTTGTTTTGATAGGCATGAATATACTTGTAATCGGAAACCCAGCTGAGGAAATGAGCTTGCCAGCCCAGGGTAAGTTCTTAAAACTTAGAACACAGGGATCTTTCAGACCCTGGGAGTCAAGTGGCAGACAGTGAGCCAGAGGGGCAAAGTCAAGGACACTGATTCTGTGTAAAGACCTTGAACAACAGGACAGGACCAGACCCGTAGCACAGGGTGCTCTGGATAAGACAAATGGGGTATTTCCTTTTCTGCTTCCCATAGCACTTTGTCCAGAAACAGAGTGGAGTGGGGCGCTAAGGGGCCAGTAATCCAAGAACTTCACAGTTTCTTAACGCAACATTGTAGACTGGATTACAGGTTGTTAGCAATTACATCTCTTCTGTTTTTTGCCTGCTTGGCAAAGGAGTACAAATTCAGAATATTATCCTAGATCAAGTTAGGTTTAATTGCTTATCTTCAATAAAATTATGAAATCAGAACAGCAGGTGACCTGAAGGAGACAACCAGCAAAAATGCCATGTCTATATGCAGAAACACCAGCGTGAATGTCCTCCGCAATGTTAGCAATGGTCAGGTTGGGAACAGGCTGTTGCAGGTGATGTATTTGCATGGTATTTGCTTATAGTGCTTGATTTTTTTTTTTTTTTTTTTTTTTTGCCATTCAATGTATTATTTTCACAATAACAAAAGCCTTTTTAAAAGCAAAAAGATAGGTCAGGAGTTCAAGACCAGCCTGACCAACATGGTGAAACCCCGTCTCTACTAAAAACACAAAAATTAGCCGGGCATGGTGACGTGCACCTGTAATCCCAGCTACTTAGGAAGCTGAGGCAGGAGAATGGCTTGAATTGGGAGGCAGATGTTGCAGTGAGCCGAGCTCATGCCATTGCACTCCAGCCTGGGCAACAGAGACTCTGTCTAAAAAAAAAAAAAAAAAAAAAAAAAAGCAAAAAGAGTGCCATGAGATGGGCAAATGAAAGTCCGAAACAGATGTAGATTCCAATTCCCCTGTTTCTGCCACTTAGCCATGCTGGGTCTCAGCATCTCATCTGCAAAGGGCCTTGCTGAGTTTCTCTGGGGGCAGGTAGCACACACTGCCTTATATCATGTGTTTGGAAAAACTTTTGTCTCCTCATAACTCCAGCACAGCTCAGAGACGGTCAGGTGACTTTTTATATTAACCTGAGGAGGGTATTAAATGAAAAAGGTAATCCAGGCAAGTGGCGATTTCCTCCTAGCTTTAGCTCTGGGGACACCTTAGCATCCTGGGTGACATAGTAGGTTACAGAGCTGCTAAAATGGGCATGGGCAGACACACTGATCCAATACTAAGAGTTCAGTTGTAGCATCTGGTGTTTCATGATACTCACTTGTCTTCCTCCCTTGCAACCCAGCCATTTCATGGGACCAATGGGCCACCACAGGGATCAGATCTCAACACATTCTGCAGGCCCTTGTCGAAATTCTTCCCTAGTTCACTAGTGGGAGAGGGACTGGGTGTGGTTGCCAAAGAAATAAAAGCATTGAAATTTCAATAGAAATGCCGTAATTTATTCCATTGTATAAAAAAGTTATCCTTATGTAACAAAATGTCTTCTTAGAAGAAGAAATATATTATTTCAGGTCATAAATAATCAGCAAACATACAACTGTTGGCAACTAAAAAAAAACCCCAACACTGGTATTTTCCATCAGTGCTGAAAACAAACCTGCTTACGATATATTTACAGGATAGTACAGTACTCAAAAACAAAAATTGAGGTATTTGGTTCTTCTAGGAGTAGACAATGACATTTGTGGAGGCAGACACCTCCACAAAAATAAATAAGGTATATTCTCATATGTATATGTGTCGTCGGGAATGATAATACTGGTAGGTATGTCAAGCATGAAGAGATTCTACAAAAAACAGGAGCGAGCAAAAAGAAACTGGCTCACACACTGAGTCCTTTCTCTTCTGCCCCATTTTGTCAGAGGGACTTGATGTACCCACTACATATTGGTCCCGAATGTGCTGAGTTCAGCAGATGTCTTGACGCTAAGTCATCACAACGACTGCTTAGGAACCCAGTGGAACTCGGGTGAAGTTAAATAAATAAAGACCAGCCCTCTCGAGCCCCTCCCAGAGTTACTGCATTTCTCCTCTCAAGGAGCCTGGAGTCCCAGTGGGATGTGAAGAGCCTCACCTCCCACAGCCTTTCAGCAGCTGGGAGAGGTCGTGATGGGACTCTGAAGGTAGCTCAGCGCACTGTTCGTGGAGTGGACAGGGATGGAGACGGGGAAGTTGAACACAGTGGTGGTGGAGGTGCCTCGGTCGAGCACAGCCATGGCGGGGCTCCCAGCCTCTGCCGAGCAGTGTGGGGCCAGCACCTGGGACTCAAACTGCAGCAGCTGGCCCATGAAGCTGAAGTTGGGGGAGATGATGCTTCGCCTCTGCTTCACAAACTCAAAGGCCTCGTCTAGCTTGACTCGGTTAGTCCTCATGAGGTAAGCAAGGCAGATAGTAGCTGACCGGGAAATGCCCGCCTGGCAGTGGACAAACACCCTTCCTCCAGCATTCTTGATGGAGTCTAGAAAACAAAAGGAGCGGCTGGTTACTGGAGAGCTCAGGAGAACCACCCCAAGCCCAGGTACAGTGTATCTGAGAAAGGTCATGTGTGTCTTGTCTAGAAATGGTCAACATCACCACACGCCATCACATGGCTACTGTTCATGGAAGCAACTTGGGCACTGCGCAAAGGATGGCACAGGATTTAAACTCAGACTGGGGATTTCCACTCAGCAGATAGATCTCACACCAGTCAATTCAACTTTGTGAGCCCCAGTTTGCAAATCTGTAAAGTGGGACATTGAATCAAATTCACATTTTGCAGGAATGTTGCCCACACCAGACTGATACTGAATGTCTGGAAGAAGGCTCATAAGACTTCAAGCTCTTGCCACAGAGGTTGGGCTTAGGGGCTAAAATGAGAAGAGAGAGGCAGAAAAGCCCCAGGCATCCATTCCATTTACCTATGAAGTCAATGGCCTCGTTGAACCAGGAGCTGATGTCTGCCTTGTGGTTGTCCTCCACAGGGATGCTCTTGTATTGGTAGTGACCCTCAAAATGGTTGGGACAATTGGCTGAGACGTTGATCAAGGCAGTGATGCCCAAGGCATCCAGCATGTCCTTGCGGGAAGCGTGATAGGCACTGCCCAGGTACAGAAAGGGCAGGATTTCCACCGGGCCACCCTGAAATCCAGAAATATCCAACATTCATCAAGCTCGCTCAAAGCCAAGGCCAGTGCCCACACCCACAAAAACTTTCTGCTGGAAAAGTCAATTTCAGATAGCGAGTGAACTCAGTTCTGTTGCTGGAGGATAAATAAATAGGGAACTAAGCCCATTTGCCTGGGCAGGACCAGCAAATTCATTTCTGTAGAGCCTACAATCATATCCCTGTGTCCCCTCCGTTATAAATAATGCTGCAGGTCACTTTCTATATTCTCCCTGGCACCACTCCTCCGTGCCTTTGCCAGTTCTTACTTCTCCCCTGTGGCAGGGACACCTACTAACCTGATCGTAGAGTGGGGTACTGCAGGAACTGCACCCAGATTCCGCGCTGTCAGGGACGCTAGTACTCAGGGGAAGGCTGAGCCCCATGGGGGTCGACTGTTTGCTGCACAGCTCCGGGCAGGAAGCCGAAAACGCTTCGTATCCTCCTGGGAATACAAAGACATTTTTTTTTTCCTCAGTGACGCCGGGACAGGGCACCTTCATACGACTCCCCCACCCACCAAGGGCTGGAAGTTTACAGCGGAAAGGCCCAGGCAAGTCTTTGTTCCCAGAGCCAAACAAAGCCAATGACAAGTTCCAGAGATAAATGTACTCCAGCGCCCACGCGCTGCAGGTGGGGCGACCCCCCGGGAGTCAAGAGCCGAGGGTACCGGGCAAAATCTCAGGGGTGTGCGGCCCGCCCCGAGCTTCCCCGAGGGCGTACCTTTGAGGAAGAAGACTTGCGCGGCGCGCGCCTCGCGGCAGAGCGCACCGGCCGCCAGAGTCAGGGTGCCGTCGCGCCTGGCGCCGTCCAGGGCGGCGCTGCGCTCGTCCAGCAACACCACGGCGTGGTAGGCGCCGGCCAGGAGGCGGCCGCGCAGCTCGGCGTTGGGCACGATGTGCTCCAGGCCCATGGCGCCCTTGGCCCGGCGCCGCACGATGGTGCTGAAGCGCACGTTGACAGAGCCGGCGATGTGGCCGGCGTTGAAGGCGAAGAAGGAGCGGCAGTCCAGCAGCAGGCATTGCGCCGCGCGCTCCCTCAGCAGCGCCCGCAGGCCTCCAGCGTCCAGGGTGCCCACTTCCATGACCATGGCCGGCCTCAGCGCCCCCAGCGTGATCAGCCCTGCGGTGCTCTTTGTCCTCGGGGCCAAGGGCAGGGCGGCGCCTTTCGAGGAAAAGCTAGACCCCCGGGTCGCTCTGCGCCGAACCAAAAGCTGCTTTTGGACTGAGAGAGGAGCGTCACGCGGGGGCTCTGGGCTCCTCGGCTTCTTCGCGGTTGCCCCGACTGCCCCTTCGAACCACGTCGCACACACAGCCCGAACGTCCTTCGCAGCGAGCCCTATCCGGGGAGCTCGTTTATATGAGGCCTCTGGGCGACGGGGCGGGCCTGACCCGCGCGCAGGGGGAGGAGGGTGTTTGTTTGAATGGTGATCACGTGACGGGGCGGTGACGTCACCCGCCCTGCCCGGCCCGGCGCCGCCGAGCTACAGGGGAAGACGTCATCAGCCTCGGAGCTGGGTCCGCTTGCTGCGCGCTGGCTCGCGGCCCGGCCCCCGCCCTGCCGTCCGGCCTGCTCTTGGCGCGTCCCCAGGGACTGGGCCCGCGCCGCGCTCCGGGCCCAGCGGGGAGGCGGAGGGCTCGCTGCCAGCTGAGGCTGACCTCTGGGATGCGAGCGGCCGGGAGAATGGGCGACGTGCCACCTGCCTTGGCCTCGCCGCTCCTCCGTCTCTCCCTCCCCGAGTCCCCTTCCCCGTGCCCCTCGGCCTTCGACCTGAGCCGAAAGGGGCTTCCTGCGCTTTTGCATACTCTTGTGCCCCTTTCTCTCATTTCCTCATCACTAACAGGCGGGGAAACTGAGGTTCCCCAAGCGAAGCTACTGACTTGCCCAGAACCACACTACTGGGGTGTGGGGTGGGGCGGCGCGTGGGGCAGCACAGAGGCGCCTAAGATGAAGTTTGGAGAAAAATGAACAGCTCTGCCGATAGAAAAGTCGTTCCTACCAAAAACGACTCGAGCGAGTTGGGGCGGAGAGGTTCAGGGCAATGCTTTCCTGTTTCCCCGACTTTCTTTAAGGTGGCTTTAAAATATCTACATTTGCCATGAAAGTGTAAGCGAGCAAACCCCCACCGGGAAATAATGCTATTCCTAGTCTGTGGCCCCCGGAAGACTTGGAGCCAAGGAAGGCAGATCAAGGGGCTGAAATCCCGGTCGGGGGTCGCAAGGCCCCGCGGTGGATTCCCGGGTTTGGCGTTTGGAGGGGTGAGGGGCGACCCGCAGCGCGACTCGACGGCGCCCCCCAGGGGCCGCCCGACACGTTTCTGTCACCTTGGCTCCAGACGGAGCTTCTCCATCCCTTTATTACACAAATAGGCAGTATACTGAGTGAGCGCCCACTAAGCGCTGGGCTGGGGGGCTCCAACCCGGAACAGAAGCCGGCCCCAACCCTCGCTCCCTGTCGTCGCTTCCGTTATAGGCTGAAGGCAAAATCCAATCCCGGGCCGTTGTGGGCGGATTGCCAGGACATGGATCGCAACGCTTGGGAAGACCCCCCGCCCCCAACGCCCAGCGATATCCATGCCCTGAGTCCCAGTGACGGCCCCCTGGACAGCACAGCCTGCTGCAGCGACGCGACGCGCTAGGTACACAAACATAAACATTGCGCCACCGGCCCGGGTGCCGAGTCAGGAACATTCTGCGGTTTCCTCCCCTCCTGGGGGAGGGGATTTCACTGGCCACCCTCTGTCGTCGTTGTGCGAGCTGTATCACCAGAGGCAACTTCTGCATTTGCCTCGCTTAGCTTGTGTGTTTTCGCCTGCGCAAACGTTCTGCCTGGATTCTTCTAGAAAAGTTCAGGGAATGGAGTGCTTTTTTTTAAAAGGGCGTTTTCTACCTTCATTTGAACATTGGTCGAGGACAGCAAAGAGGTCCTCAGATAAGAGCAACACCCTCCCTGTATGGAGAGATAGAAGAAAAAGAAATTATTTGTTTATACTACTTATTCAGCTGAGGAACTCAACATACTTTTTGCGTTGAATCATAGAATGTTACAGCTGCTGACTTTTCACTGCATACCGACTTGATTTGTCCCATTTTTTTTTCTCTCACCAAGAGAATTCATTATACCTTTCCCTACCGAAATTTTTCAACAAGAAAACTCTTTTAAGGGCTGGGTGCTGTGGCTCACACCTGTAATCCCAGCACTTTGGGAGGCTGAGGCAGGCGGATCACAAGTTCAGGAGATCGAGACCATCCTGGCCAACACGGTGAAACCCCGTCTCTGCTAAACATGCAAAAATTATCTGGGCGTAGTGGTGGACGCCTGTAATCCCAGTTACTCGGGAGGCTGAGGCAGGAGAATCGCCTGAAGCCCAGGAGGCGGAGGTTGCAGTGAGCCAAGATCACACTATGGCACTCTAGCCTGGTGACAGAGCAAGATTCTCTTTAGTGCCATTATCATGGTAGTAGTGGCACAGTCTGGCCCTAGAGCCAGGTATCTTCTGGCCTCTCCTGCTTTTCTCTCTCCTCCCTTGCTGGAAAGAGTATAAAAGTAGACTTGAACCCTGTCATTTTGCTGCTGGATGGTCAGAGGTGAGTCTCGACCCCTACTGAGCCTCCAAGCCCACATCTGTACCGTGGGTCTACACTGGCCCACTTTGTAGATGGTTTGAGGCCCAAGTGAGAGATGGGGGGGTTAGGGAACCCAGGCCCTACCCCACCCCTGCTCTTTATGATTCACTGTATCTCTAGGGTTTCCCCTTCCCAGCAGAATGGTTCTGTCCCTGTGCCTTTCAGAGACTTGCCTCAGAACCAGGGAGAAGGTCACTGCAAGCCATCTGCTTATGAGAGACATCAGCGGACAGGGGCCCGACTCAGGGAGAGCTCCTCTTTAAGACCCTCTACCACACAGCGCTCACGGTGGGTCACCTGCCTAGAGGCAAGTGGTAAACGTGTAGCCACCTAGGCCCCCAATCCAGGCAGTGGAGATGCTGCTTCTGACTGAGGATGGAGCCAAAGAGAGCCCAGCATCATCTGGTCTCTGTAACCACAGGAGTGGAGGACTTGGCCTTGTGGGCCTGGCCGCCAGAGGGAATGAAGCAGATAAATCAGTGGATGTTGACTCAGGGGAGAGAATTGGGCCTTTCTGACCTGGGCTGTTCCCAGTTCTACCTAGTCCTGCTTAGGAATAAACCTGGAGGCAGTGTGGAGTAACGGGAAGAAGGGTTCAGAGTTCCATACTCCCCCAAAAGCTGGCCGGGATTCCCTACCTTTAATGTGTGGCCTTGAGTAAGTCCTCCCATGGTGCTGAGCTCCACCCCCTCCTTCCCATGATGGAGAGAATAATAATAACACACACCTCCAAGGACTTTGGGGAGACTGGGTGTAGCCAGGGTTGGCCCTAGCTCATAGTCCCTGTCCTAATCCTGCTCTCAAAGGCGACTTTGGATCTCTCTTGGGATCACAGTTTGAGAAGAGTGGAGCTCCCCCAATGACAGTCAGAAAGAGGCCCCCGCTCACTGTCTGCTCGGTGACCTTGGGCAAGCAGCTGACCATTTCTGAGCTTCTGTTTCCCCATTTGTAAACTGGGAATAACATCCATTTAGGACAAAGTGAAACAGTGTGTAAGAACCTGATATGGATGACACCCAAAGGGGGTGTTCTCAAGAGGGGGAGCAGGGTCCCACATTCATGTTCCCTCTTTGAAAACACACGGCCTTTTTCCTGTCTCCCCTGTGGTGTATGGGGTTCCTCCCCTCAATATCCTTCTACAACTCCCCATTTCTTAGCAAATCCAAAACGCACTGCTACTGAGCCTCGCCATCTATATGGCTCAGCTTCCCACTCTCTTTTCTTTCTCTCTTGTGCTCCAGGAAAATTCTGTGGGCCTGTGTTCCTAGAATGTTCTTGTCCTCTGCCACATCTTTGCTCACATTCCTCCCCCACCCCCTGCCAGACAGTGGCCCCTCTGGGCTTTCCAAGTGAAGACTCCTTGGGTTCCTCCAACTGCTCCCTCTTCTTGGCCTGGAGGACATTGTCCATGTATTCTCATTGTGTACAAGTCACCTAGATCTTTGTCGTACTCCCCACAGGGTGTGAGCTTGTCAGCTTGAAGACAAGGGGTGTGTTTTTCTCAGCATTGCACTCCCCAGCCTACTACCTTTGATGTGGTGCCTGGCACATAGTAGGTTCACAATTTGGGAAACGGTAGAATTGTTTCAAAGGGTACTGTTGAAAAGTGTCAGAAGGGTGGAGGGTGGTCATTGACACTTATTAGGCCTCACCTCTGGGCCAGGTGCATTACAGGTATCTTTCCATGAATCTGACAGTGATCCTGTGAGGTGCTTGTTGTCCCCATTTTATAGGCAAGAAAAGAGGCTCAGAGAGGAGACATGCCAAAGGTCACATGCCTGAGGTCATAAAGCTGATAATCATCAGACGCAGATCCAAACCCAGCGCCTGTCTGACTTGAGAGAGGGAGCTGGGCCTGGCTCTGTTGAGGCCTGTGCGTCTGCCAGTCTGCCAGCCCCATGTCCGGCAGCACTGCCTGGAGCCTCTGCCTCCCAGCTTCCTGGAGCTCTTCTCACTGGACAGAGCGGTCCCTGGTGTCAGCCCAGCAGGGAGCCTGGAGCCTCCTAAGACTCCCAACTCAGGCCCTCATGCCCCTGCTCAAGAGACTCTGTAGCCACTCGGGCCTACCTTGAGGGACTGGCAAAGGGCTGACATCACCCTCTACACCCAGGCAGTTGGGACAGAGCTAGCTGTCATTGCACAATCCTTACAAACAGATCTCCATGCTCAGACCTGGCAGGGCCCACCAAACTGTGTCATCCTGTCTAACCTCCTCATTTGAGAGACAAGGGCCCAGAGAGGTTAGGCAATCTGTCCGAAGTCACACAGTGTTCAGAACATTCTAACCAGTCAGCATTGTGTGAGCTGTGTGTCCAAACCCTTAACAGTGTTTATCTTTGGAGGGTGGAGTTCCTCTCATTTTCTTCCTTATGACTCTGAGTGATTTGAACTTTTTAAACTTAAATGTGTAACTTTTGTAACAAAGAATAAAAGGTAAGATTAGAAGGCAACCATATGAAGGTAACAGCATTGTCCTTAAAACCAAGTTACAGAGTTAGACCTTCTGAATTAGAATCCCAGCTTGCTTACTCACCAGCTGTGTGTATTTGGGCACGTTACTTTAGCTCTGTGAGACTCAGTTTTCTCATCTTTAAAGAGGGAATAATAATCGTATCGATCTTGTAGGATTCATAGGAAGGTTATGTAAGACAGTGATTGGCAAACTATAGCCTGTAAGCCAAACCTAGCTCGCTACCTCTTTTTGTACAAACCACAAACTAAGACTGGTTTTTATGTTTTAAATGGTTGGGGGGAAAAAATCAAAAGAAGAATCATATTTTATGACATGTGAATGTCATATAAAATTCAAACTTCATTGTCCATAAATGAAGTTTTATTGGAACACAGCCACACCCATTCCTTTACGTGGTATCTGTGGCTGCTTTCACACTACAATGGGAGGTGTATATTGTGACAGAGACAGTATGGCTCACAAAGCCTCAAATATTTACCCTTATCCCTTTACAGGAAAAGTTTGCCAACCCCGATAGGAGCTCATGGATGAAAAGTACTTTAGAACAATGCCTGGCACAGAGTAAGTGTTTAGAAAACTTTGTTATTATTATTATATAGATATTTATAAAATCTTCTTCCCCTCGGATGTTATTTTTTTTTTATTTTTATTTATTTTATTTATTTTTTTTTTTTTGAGACGGAGTCTCGCTCTGTCGCCCAGGCTGGAGTGCAGTGGCCGGATCTCAGCTCACTGCAAGCTCCGCCTCCCGGGTTCGGGCCATTCTCCTGCCTCAGCCTCCTGAGTAGCTGGGACTACAGGCGCCCGCCACCTCGCCCGGCTAGTTTTTTGTATTTTTTAGTAGAGACGGGGTTTCACCGTGTTAGCCAGGATGGTCTCGATCTTCTGACCTAGTGATCCACCCGTCTCGGCCTCCCAAAGTACTGGGATTACAGACTTGAGCCACCGCGCCCGGCCGGATGTTTTTAAAAGCAGTAATTGCTTTCATCATATAATTCATTGTGTTGAAGGCACAGTTTTCATATTTTAGCATTTCTCAGGACGTAACAATTGGAAGCATGTCATCGTTAATTGACAGCATATTCCTTTCTTAATGGTGCATAAATTAATGAAAGGGCCTCAGAACTGATGACATCTTAGAGCCAGTAGATGCAGTGAAGTGTAAAAGGTTGAAGATGGAAAAGAATTGAGTGCTACAGTCATTCAGTCAACAGCCGTTCCAGTGGTGGGACAGACTTGTTAAGTGCCAGGGTAGAAACTGGGTACCCAGGAAAGATGCCCAGAGGAGAGGACGTCTACTTGGAGATGTAAAGGCTGATGTCGGATAGAAATACCTGGAGGAAATGCCTTTGAGAGGTAGGCCTCAGTTACCTACCACTTTCCCCCTGGAAGCCTCACCTCCCTGTAAAATAAGAATAGTAGTAACCCCTAAAGACCACTTTGTCGTTCATTTTCTTTTTTCTTTCTTTTTTTTTTTTTTTGAAATGGAGTCTCGCTCTGTCACCCAGGCTGGAGTGCAGTGGCACGATCTCAGCTCACTGCAAGCTCCGCCTCCAGGGTTCAAGCAATTCTGCTACCTCAGCCTCCTGAGTAGCTGGGACTACAGGCGCCCGCCACCACGCCCGGCTCATCTTTGTATTTTTATTAGAGACAGGGTTTCACCATGTTGGTCAGGCTGGTCTCAAACTCCTGACCTCATGATCTACCTGCCTTGGCTCCCAACGTGCCGGGGTTACAGGCGTGAGCCACTGCAACTGGCCTGTCGGTGATCATTTCTCTCTCTCCCACTAGCTCGGAAGCAAGGGCATGGTTTCTTGTCTCTCTTGGTCCCCAGTACAAATCTCAAAGCAAGGCTTGTTGAACAAATAAATGAAGACGAGCCCAGGAGCCCAGGAAAGGGACCAGGAACAGCAGGGCCTCCATGACTCACACAAGCCTCATCCCTGAAGCAAGGATGCAGCTGCCAACAATGGCCCCAAGCCACGCCCGCCACTGGGGGAACTGATGCTGCGGTGAGAAGTGACAGCTTTCTGTTGATTCTTTTCTTTCTTTTTCTAAAACAGAATATGAATTGAGACATAATTTCATTTTCATAATGAGAAAACACTTAGTAACTAATGTTGTTGGAAGCAAATGTGAACACAGTTTGTCTGTCCCAAACTCATCTCTGGGAAAAGGAGGAGGAAAAGTTACTGGCACCATGTTCAGAATCATAGCTGAAGATGCAGAAATTGTTCATCCCAATTTTGCCTTTGTAAGTAACGTGGGGGCAGTGCTTATTAATAATTGCCAATCTCTACTAAGACACAGTACTTGCTAGGTGCTTTATATTCATTTCCTGGTGTGATCATGACATTAACCCTGGGAAATGGGTACCCTTACTATCTCCATGTGAAGAAATGGGGAAACTGAGGACCAGAGAGGTGAACTAACTTGTCCAAAGACACACAGCAAGGGCTCTGACTCTCCGCTTTCCAAGTTTTTTGTTCTTATCTTTTCACAGCACATAGCAGGCATGGTATGAGGGTGGTGTGCTGCACAATTTTGCTGTTTGTTTCTTGGAATAATAATTTACAGGGGGCTGCTTCTAGATTCCAAAGGAAAGAGAAAAAGAAATATGCCCCAAACTCAGGCTTTCTGCCTGGCCCTGCCTGACTGTCTGAGCTGCATTGGACAAATGGTGTATTCACTGGCCTTGACCTCAGTGGGTTTGGCCACCCATTGAGAGTGAAGTCACACCTCCAGCACTGCGATGCATTCATTTGGTTTTTTTTTGTTTTTTTTTTGTTTTTTTTTTGAGACGGAGTCTCGCTCTGTCGCCCAGGCTGGAGTGCAGTGGCGCGATCTTGGCTCACTGCAAGCTCCGCCTCCCGGGTTCACGCCATTCTCCTGCCTCAGCCTCCCGAAGCGATGCATTCATTGATCCGCTCACCTAGCTTCATGGCAGGCAAGAAACAGGCCTGTGTGAGCCTGCCCAGGATCAGGGACAGGAGAGCACACAAGTGTTTCTGGATATCCTCAAGCTGTTGCTGGGCTGCTCAGTTCTTCCCTAGGAGATCCTCCGGGGGGCCTGAATTAGTTTGCTAGGGCTTCCGCAACAAAGTGCCACAGACTGAGCAGCTTAAATAAAAATGTATCATCTCGTGGTTCTGGAGCCTGAAAGTCTGAGATCAAGGTGCTGGGCATTAGGACTTGAACATATGTTTTTTGGGGGCACACTTCAACCCATCGGAGGGCCTGTGCCCCAAAGAGAGCCTCCTTCTGTGTGCAGTGAAGGTGTGAGTTATAAACATGAGAAGAAAACACCCCTTGTTCTTGGATAGGATGACTCAATACCACAAACAGTCCAACTGGCCCAGGCAAATATATCCATTTAACGTGATCGTCACAAAAATACTGAGGGTGGGTGTTTTTTTCTGGAGTTAAACAAGTTGATTCTGGAGTTGATATGAAATAATAAACAAGTAAAAATAGCAGAATTTCTTTAAAAAAAAAAGGGCAGTGGGGTGGAGGTAAGCCCTACCAGACATTAAAACACACCATAAATCTTCTGTAATTGGCAAGGCACAGTGGCTCATGCTTGTAACCCCAGCACGTTGAGATGCTGTGATGGGAGGATTGCTTGAGCCCAGGAGTTTCAGACCAACCTGAGCAACATAGCGATACTCTATCTCTACAAAAATAAAAAGTTAAAAGCTAAGTGTGGTGGTGTGCACTGGTAATCTCAGCTATTCCAGAAGCTGAGGTGGAAGGCTTGCTTAAACCAAGGAATCTGAGGCTGCAGTGAGCTATGATCACACCACTGCACTCAGCTTGGGGGACGGAGTGAGACCATGTCTCTAATTTTATTTGTTTATTTATTTTTTTGAGATGGAGTCTCACTGTGTCGCCCAAGCTGGAGTGCCGTGGTGCGATTTCGGCTCACTGCAACCTCTGCCACCCAGGTTCAAGCAATTCTCCTTCCTCAGCCTCCCAAGTAGCTGGGATTATAGGCGCATGCCACTGCACCCAGCTAATTTTTGTAGCTTTTAGTAGAGATGGGGTTTCATCATTTTGGCCAGGCCGGTCTTGAACTCCTGACCTCGTGATCCGCCCCGCCTCGGCCTCCCAAATTGCTGGGATTACAGGCGTGAGCCACCGCGCCCGGCCTCTAAAAAAAATTTTTTTTTTTTTAATGTTTTAAAGCCTCTGTAATAAAAATGGTGTACCTGGAAACGCATAGCCAGACAGACCAATGGAACACAATAGAAAGTCCAGAAATGTATCCAAGTACATGTGAAGATTTGGTGCATGGCCAAGGTGGCGTCTCAGGTCACTGGGACATAAGACTTCTTAATAAGCAGTGCTGGAACCATGACATTCCATTTGGAAAAAAGATAAAAGTGAGGCCAGGCGCGGTGGCTCAAGCCTGTAATCCCAGCACTTTGGGAGGCCAAGATGGGTGGATCATGAGGTCAGGAGATTGAGACCATCTTGGCTAACACGGTGAAACCCCGTCTCTACTACAAAAATACAAAAAACCAGCCGGGCGAGGTGGCGGGCGCCTGTAGTCCCAGCTACTCGGGAGGCTGAGGCAGGAGAATGTTGTGAACCTGGGAGGCGGAGCTTGCAGTGAGCTGAGATCCGGCCACTGCACTCCAGCCTGGGCGACAGAGCGAGACTCCATCTCAAAAAAAAAAAAAAAAAAAAGATAAAAGTGGATCCATACCTCACACCAAACATCAGAATAAACACCAAATGGTCCAGAGATCCAGATTTTTAAAAATGAAACCTTACAACTTCTTTTTTATTTTTCTTTTTTCTTTTTTTAAGACTAGTCAACTACAGTAGTGAGAAGAGGGGAAAGGGTAGAACAAGGAGTTTTATCAGTAACTGACAGTCAACAATTCATTGAGATAACTCACTACCTTTGGACCAGCCAAGGAAAGTTTACAACTCTTTTTTTTTTTTTTTTTTTTTTTTTTTGAGACAGAGTCTCACTCTGTCACCCAGGCTGGAGTGCCATGGAGCAATCTCTACTCATTGTAACCTCTACCTCCTGGGTTCAAAAGTCTCCTGCCTCAGCCTCCTGAGTAGCAGAGACTACAGGCACCCGCTACCTTGCCTGGCTAATTTTTGTATTTTTAGTAGAAATGGGGTTTCACCATTGTTGGTCAGGCTGGTCTCAAACTCCTGACCTCAAGTGATCCATCTGCCTTGGCCTCCCAAAGTGCTGGGATTACAGGTGTGAGCCACCGCACTGCCCAGTGTACAACTTTTAAAATAAAACAGAGGGAAATTTATTTATAACCCAGAAGTAAGAAAATTTTTTATTTAGGAATCAAAAGACTCAAACAGTGAAAGAAAATCTTGATTAAATTCAACTATATAAAAATTAAACCCGGCCAGGTGCAGTGGCTCACACCTGTAATCCCAGCACCTTGGGAGGCTGTGGAGGGCAGATCACGAGGTCAGGAGTTCAAGACCAGCCTGGCCAACATGATGAAACTCCGTCTCTACTAAAAATACAAAAATTAGCCAGGTGTGGTGGCGCATGCCTGTAATCCCAGCTACTCGGGAGGCTGAGGCAGGAGAGTCGCTTTAAATCAGAAGGCGGAAGTTGCAGTGAGCCGAGATTACACCACTGCACTCCAGCCTTGGCAACAAGAGCGAAACTCCGTCTCAAAAACAACAACAAAACAAACAACAACAACAACAAAAATCCAAATTTGTAGAAAGCTTTTTTGTGCCTAAAGCTCCAGAAGCAAAGTTAAATTTTATTTTTAAAAAAGGCAAATGGGGCTGGGTGTGGTGGCTCACGCCTGTAATCCCAACACTTTAGGAGGCCGAGGTGGGCAGATCACAAGGTCAGGAGATGGAAACCATCCTGGCTAATATGGTGAAACCCCATCTCTACTAAAAATACAAAAAAAAAAAAAGAATTAGCTGGGCATGGTGGCGGGCATCTGTAGTCCCAGCTACTTGGGAGGCTGAGACTGGAGAATGGCGTGAACCCAGGAGCAGTGAGCCAAGATCGTGCCACGGCACTGCAGCCTGGGCAACAGAGGGAGACTCCATCTTTAAAAAAATAAATAAATAAAAAATAAAGGCAAATGGGAAAAAAAATTGTAATTTACAGATGAAGGCCAGTTTCACCAATATTAAAGGAGTTATTAAAAACAGAGATGAAGGCCGGGCGCGGTGGCTCAAGCCTGTAATCCCAGCACTTTGGGAGGCCGAGACGGGCGGATCACGAGGTCAGGAGATCGAGACCATCCTGGCTAACACGGTGAAACCCCGTCTCTACTAAAAAATACAAAAAAAAAATAGCCGGGCGCGGTGGCAGGCGCCTGTAGTCCCAACTACTCGGGAGGCTGAGGCAGGAGAATGGCGTAAACCTGGGAGGCGGAGCTTGCAGTGAGCTGAGATCCGGCCACTGCACTCCAGCCTGGGCGGTAGAGCGAGACTCCGTCTCAAAAAAAAAAAAAAAAAAAAAAAACAGAGATGAAAAAGCCAAAAGTATGATTTTAAAATAGACAAAAACCGTGAGCAGATAGTTTATAGAAAAAGAATTACAGTCCTTCTGAACACGTAAAATGCCCATTCTTTTTTTTTTTTTTTTCCTTTTTGAGACAGAGTCTCGCTCTATCACCCAGGCTGGAGTGCCGTGGCATGATCTCAGTTCACTGCAACCTCCATCTCTCAGGTTCAAGCTATTCTCCTGTCTCAGCCTCCCTAGTAGCTGGGACTATAGGCACGTGCCACCACACCTGGCTCATTTTGTAATTTTAGTAGAGACAGGGTTTCACCAGATTTCACCATGTTGGCCATGCTGGTCTCGAACTCCTGACCTCAGGTGATCCGCCCACCTCGGCCTCCCAGAGTGCTGGGATTACAGGTGTGAGCTACCACACCTGGCCAAGATTCCCATTGTTAATCATAATAAGAGACAAGAAAATTACTTGAGAGACTGTTTCTCATCCATCATTAGATTAGCCAAAATCCAAAAACTTGACAGCACCCTCTGGGACAAGGGAAACCTGACTATGGACTGGATATTAGGTGATATTATGGAATTGTTAACTTTGGTGGGTGCCTAGAAGAACATCTTGTTCTTAAGAGATGCATGCTGAGGTATTTAGCAGAGAAGGGTCG